GAGTGGCAGCGGCGGCTGCAGCGGCAGTGGCAGGAGCGGCAGCTGCAAGGGCAGTGGCAGCAATGGCAGCAGTGGCGGCAGCAGCAGCTGCAAGGGCAACGGCAGCAGTAGCCACTGCACGGGCAGCAGCGGCAGTGGCGGCTGCAGCTGGCGGTTGCAGCAGCAGCGGCAGTGGCGGCAGCGGCAGGGGCTGCAGCAGCTGCGGCAGTGGCAGCGGCGGCAGCACAAGCTGCGGGAGCAGCTGCCGCAGCGGCGGCAGTGGCAGCAGCGGCAGTGCAAGTGGCTGGCAGCGACAGCAGCAGCAGCAGCGGCAGTGGCGGCAGCAGCTGTAGCAGTGGCAGCGGCGGCAGCAGCAGCTGCAAGGGCAGCGACCGCAGTGATGACTACAAGGGCAGCGGCGGCAGTGGCAGCTGCAAGGGCAGCGGCGGCAGTGGCGGTTGTAAGGGCAGTGGCGGCTGCAGCTGGCGACTGCAGCGGCAGAGGCGGCAGCGGCAGTGGCGGGAGCTGCAGTGGCGGTAGCAGCTGCAGCAGTGGCAGTGGCGGCAGCGCAGCTGCAGCGGCAGAGGCAGTTGTAAGGGCAGCGGCAGCAGTGTCGGCTGCAGCAGCAGAGGTGGCAGCGGCATTGGCGGCAGCTGCAGTGAGTGGCGGCTGCAGCAGCGGCAGTGGCTGCAGAAGTTGCGGCAGTGGCTGCAGCGGTTGCAGCAGTGGCTGGAGCGGCAGTGGCAGCAGTAGTGGCGGCAGTGGCATTTGCAGCAGTAGTGGCGGCAGCAGCAGTGGCACAGGCAGCAGCAGTGGTTGCAGTGGCAGTGGCGGCTGCAGTGGCGGCGGCTGTCTGGCGACTAGCTGGCAGCCGTGGCTGGCGCAGCAGCGAGCTGGCCAGTGACGAGCTGGAAGGCGCTGCTGGCGAGTAGTTGGCAGCAGGTGCTGGCGGCGAGCTGGCGGACGCTGCTGGCGGCTAGCTGGCTGGCGCTGCTGGCAGTGAACTGGCTAGCACTGCTAGCGGCGTGTTGGCTAATGCGGCAGGCGAGCTAGCTGGCTAACGCGCTGGCTAGCTGGCTGGCGCGTTAGCTGACGTGCTAGCTAGTGCGCTGACGAGCGTACGGGCTAGCATGCTGGCCGGCGCATTGGCTTGCGCATTGGCCAACGTGCTGGCTAGCGTGCTGGCTAGCATGCTGGTTAGTGTGCTGGCTAGCGTGCTGGTTGGCTCGCTGGCCTGCTGGCTGCCGTTTGAAACAGCACGAACGCTAGCGGGAGGGCGTCGAGGGTACAGAGCGTGAAATTGGAGGGCAGGAGGTGCACGAAATTGAGAGAGTTGCACACGCGCAAAAAAAAGAAGCTATAGTCACGTCGGAAGCGTGAGTAACGGTGGAAGCATGAGTAAGGGCGGAAGCGTGAGTAACGCCGAAAAAAAACTCTAACCTAGCTCAATACCATGTTAGAGTAGCGGGAAAAAGTGTGTTGCCTGCACTACCACAACAAATATACGTGCAACTCCACAGATTAGTAGGCAACCCACTATATATTTGTTGTGGTAGGCAACCCCTGTAACCCCCTCGCATCTCCAAAGCACTTTCTCTCTATGAACGGAACCTGGGTCGCGTGGTCCTACAACAACAAACCTGCCTGGATGTTACAGGGGCGGGTTACCACCCCATCACTGGTCCGCGCTGTCCTGTCCTATGGCCGATCCTACGGTGGAAAATTGACCGATCTACGCGTAACATACTATGGTAATCAGACATTGGCAGGGAGAATGCAGTTTCTTGGTGTATCTGCCATGGCTCCCCTCCCTAGACCTACTCTTTGGTCCAAAGTGGGCGGGTCTGCTGCAGTGGCATCTCTACCTATTCCCAGACCCGTTGCCAGACCTGTGGTTTCTGGGACTCCTGCTGTGGCTGATGGGCTTGATTCCGAGCCTTGGCTTGAGGGTAGCAGACAAGGGAGGCCACTGGGGCAAGGAATGAGAGGCAGAAAGGAAGCTTACTAGCGAGTGGTAGGGTTCTGATAGGTGAAGGGCGGTTCTGCATTGGTGGTGAAACAATGCTACGGCAATGCCTAATTCTTTCATTTTTATGAGATTGTTATTGACGAATAACATGATACAGTGGCATTGCACACATGTGCCTCACCAGCCTCATGTCCATAGAAGGATCTAGCAAGCCAGCCTTCGGCAATTGCTAAAATTTGGGGGGTTCCTTTTAGTGGAGGCTATTGTACAGTTTGTCTTTCACTCCAACTCAAATACAGTACCTTATGTTACCACGCTATTCTTAGAACTGAAGAATTGTTTTAATCGAGAGAGAGTACAAGGGTATATACCTAAGAGTGTTGTACCCTCTAAGAGGAGACCCTATACAGTCTATACAAACATGAGTTATACTTATGTTTGACACACCCCCTAGACTGCATAGGGGAATGACCTAAACAAGCAGCTCAGGGTGGCACTACTAGTCCAACCTCTGAGACAAGGGTCTAAAAGACCAGTCAGACGGAGTTGAGACAAGGCAAGAACAAGACCAAGGCGGCACTACTAGTCCAGCCACTGGGAGAGGACACAAGTCCAGTCTGAGTATGCATATAAAGGATAGTACAAACTCAAGGCCCTAGCAAGTGAGAGGCTACAGGAACTAGACCAAGCTGTACGCAGTGCCGCTGATGATCTTTAGGCGCAAGCGCCTTCGTAAAGATATCAGTTGTGTTGGCACCTGAGGCCAAGTGTACTACGCGAGCCTGGCGTCGCTGCTGTAGCTCGCGCAGGAGGAAGTATCGCAGCTGAATATGCTTCGCTCTGCCCTCGAGTCGAGGCTCCTGACACAGGAGGATCATGGCCCTGTTGTCAGCGAACAGGACCGGGGCAGAGCTAGGCCGCTCACCTAAATCAGTGAGCAAGAAGGTCAGCCAGTGGAGCTCCTGTGCCGCCATTGCACCAGCGTAGATCTCAGCCTCACAGCTGGACTGGGCAACAGAGGAGGAGCGGGTAGCTCTCCACGAGACGGCACCTGAGCCAAGGCTGAAGCAGTAGCCCTGGGTAGACCTGAGTGTCTCGGCATCGTCTGCCCACGAAGCGTCTGTGTGTCCAGTAAGGACCACTGGCCTGCGTCCTCCTAGCATTAACCCCATGCCCGATGTACTAGCAAGATAACGCAAAACCCTCTTAGCGGCAGACCAGTGCTGCGGTCGGTGTCTGCCTGTGGCCACAAAGCGAGCCAGGATGCTGAGAGGGTACGCGAGATCTGGGCGAGTGCAAGTCATCGGGTACATGAGGCAACCCACCAGCTCTGCGTAGGGGCCGCTGGGCTCTACCGACTCCTCAGACACTGGAGCGGAGAGTCTGTGGTCTACAGAAAGAGGGGTGGGCTGTGCTGAGGAGAACTGAAGGCTGAACCTCTGAAGGACCTGGCGCACCAAGTGTGACTGAGTCAGGGTGATGGTGCGCGCAGCTCCGTCCCTGGAGATCTGCAAGCCAAGGTAACGGTGCAGTTCTCCAAGGTCAGTGCACGTGTGTCTCTTCAGCAGCTCTGCCTTCACGGAGGCTAGTGCGTCCCTGTCTGCTGTGGCAAAGACCAGGTCGTCGACGTAAACAAGGATGTAGAACGGAGTCTGGCCAGCACGAACGAAGAGTGAGGGGTCTGCGGAAGCCGGAAAGAACTGCAGGTCAGCAAGCGTAGCACGGAGAGTGTCGTGCCACTCACGGGGAGCCTGGCGCAGGCTGTAGACGGGGCGCCGCAGGAGCCACTGGGTCCCAGGAGGGAAGGTGCCAGTAAAGCCCTGAGGGCGACGCAAGTAGACCTGCTCGTGTAGGCTGCCCTGAAGGAAGGCAGTGGAGAAGTCGAGGGAGTGAAGCTCGTAGTCACGCTGAGCAGCTAGGTGTAACAGAACCCGAAGAGTAGTCATCTTCGGGGTCGGAGCGAAAGTCTGGAAGAAGTCCACCCCCTCACGCTGACTGAAGCCTCTAGCCACGTAGCGCGCCTTGAACACAGGCGGCACTCCAGGAGGGCGCTTCACCTTGAAGAGCCAGCGGCCATCGACTAAGTTCACCCCAGGCGGGGGAACTGCGTCGACGTAGGTGCCGGTGGATCTCCAAGATGCCATCTCCTGCTCCATGGCAGCTATCCACTGAGAGGCCCAAGGTCTCGAGGTCGCCTCAGCGTAAGTGCGAGGGGTCGAGATGTCGAAAGCGTCTGGGTCACCCTCAGGGACTAGCAGCATGGAACAGAGATGGGGAGCAGCCTCGGACAGGAAGGCAAGCTCGAACTGGCGGTCCTCCAGGACGTCACTGCCAAGGGCAGGAGCACCCCCGACAGACGGAGGACAGGCAGGGTCAGAGACCAGAGTGGTGGCGTAGTCAAGGCGGCGGGTAGAGGTGAAGTCAGCGACCGCAGCAACAAGAGCGTCAAGGCACGAGACCGGAACAGACGGGTCGGTAACGAGAGAGGCAAGGACCCGAGGAACAAGAGGACGAGCGGCACGGAGGTAGTCAAACAGCGGGGGGGGTGCAACAACAAGGGAGGACGGAGGAGGCGACGGGAGAAGGGGAGGACGAGACGCGTGGGAATGAAGCAACATAGGGTGGGAGCGCAAGACAGGCGAGGCAGGACGAGCACGGGAGGGACGGTGAGACCAGACGTGCGACGGAGGAGTCGGGTCAGGAGACAGAGGAGGGGACACTGGAGGGGAACGAGGGGGGAGACAGAGCTGGGGACGAGTCCGGCGGAGGGAACACAGGGCCGTAGACGGGAAGAGGAGGAGACGGTCGGAGAGGAACAGCCGCAGGGTCAGGGGACGGAAGGTCGAGCAGGCGAAGGGCTGACACCGGCGGGGACTGCTGCTGCGGCGGCACAACGGCGACACCGGGACTGCAAGCGGCTCCGCGGCTACCACCGGCACACTCCACACCAGCACCCCCAGAGGATCCACCCCCAGAGCTACCGGGACTAGCACCCCCAGTGTCAACGAACGGGTGCTGCGACGGCGGCGGCGGCAGCGACAACGACGGCTGCAGCGGCGGCAGAGGCGGTGGAGGAGGGGACTGGGGAGGGGACGCTGGGGGAGGGGCGGCCGGCGAGGACTGCGCAGCAAGGCCACCAGAGTCAGAAGACTCCTCAACCGGGTCCACGGACGGAAGGGGGGTGACGTGGGACACACCAGAGGGGGCAGGACGGGGAGGAGGAAGGGGAGGGGCAGGGACTACCGGGGAAGGAGTGACCAAGAACAGGGGGGGGGTAACCGGGGGACCGCGGTGGGGGAAGCGACGGTAGTAGGAGACGGACTCGTCAAAGGTGACGTCGCGAGAGTGAAAGAAGCGGTGAGACGGCGGGTGGTAAAAGTGCCAGTCAGACGTGTCAAGGGGAAAGCCGAGGAAGATGCAGGGAAGGGTGCGGGCAGTGAGCTTGTCCGTGCCGGAGGCACGGATGTGAGCAAGGCAGCCCCAGACGTGGAACGCAGACGGCAGCAGGAACAGGAAGCGGCGTCAGTGTGGTGAAGTCACGGAAGAAACACCGGGAAGCGCCAGAGTCCAAGGTGAAGGAAAGCGAAGCAGAGGCGTCTGGCGACGGAACGACGGCGGAAGCACCAAGACTACACAAAGCAGGGGATCCTACGCCTGACGCAGCAGGGGAGGCTAAGCTAGGCACACCTACACTAGCCGACAGTGAGTAATAAGCGGGAAGCACACTAGAGTCATCAGCATACATCACATGCAGAACAGAAACAATGGCATCCATGTCCATGTCAAAAATCTGAATCTTACGACTAAGCAAACTGTGCTAGTCCGGGAGGTCTGGCGACGGGCCGAAGCGCTGACGAAACAGGTCGTCCAGGCGACGAAAATTGCGGGGAGTGGAGTGACCGATCTTACCGCAAACGAAGCCGCGGCGAGGACCGGTCTGGATCTGGTACTGACAACGCACGCCTCCAGAACCACCACTCGGCACACCACCACGCGCCCGACCACCGCCAGCGCCGGGCCACCCGGGCGGGAGGACACTCGTCTGCCTCGTCTGCGGCGGCTGCTGCGGCTGCTGCTGCTGCTGCGACTGCACGGGCGGCGGCTCAGCTGGACTGGGCAGGGTCCCCTCGTCCGCTCCAGCACCAGACGACCCAACTCCACCACCACCCCCTCCCGCACCCCCGCCTCCTCCGCCGCGCCCAACCTTGGGGCGGCGGCCCTTCCCCGAACGAAACTGCGCTGCAGCAGCAGTCTAAGCCACAGCGGCAGAGCCGTCGGAGAAAGTACACTGAGCGGGGGCACAACCCTGAAAGATAGGGTCCGGCACGGTACCGCTCGCCTGGGCGATGGAGCGGTGGCGGGTCTCAATCACAGTCAGGGTGTCTACAAAGTCAGTGAGGGTGAGGTCTGCCGGGTGAATGCTAAGGAAGCGGTCGCGGGCGACAGCAAGGCGGTCAGGGAGGCGGGTGGCAAGCAGGTAAAGGGTAGAGGTAATGGGCGGCTGGTGGGCTCTAAGCTGTGCGTCAGTGCAGGCAGCGCGCCAGGTCTCATCTATCGAGCGCAGGTGGGCAGCGAGGTCAGAGACAGTGGGGAAAGACGCAAGGTCAGGAAAGAGCATCGGGAGGATCAGGCGACCCACCGAGGCAGCTGGAGGGGTGGAATAGCGCTTGATGACAGCATCTAAGTAAGCCTGGGCAGTAGTGAGGGACCTAAAGCGGGGGCGCTCGGACGGGGGAAGGGCATTGCTAATGGCAAGCTGAGCGACAGCATCTCGAGAAAGCCAGACAGAGCGCGCACAGGTAGTGGCAGCAGTAGACTCGCGCTCAGTGGGTGCGGAGTCAGCGGGCAGAACAGCAGGGGGGTCTGGGCAGGGGAGCGTACCGTCAAGGTGTGCGGAAAGCGGTTCACCATCCTGCCGCTGGCCAGTGAGTTGACGCCGGAGGTCGGCAAGCCACACCTCGAACTCCAGAGGCTGGCCTTCAGCGTCGAAGCGAAGCTCCGCCGCCATCAGGGGCAGTGCAGGACTGTACAGTGCGGTGCAGTGCAGAGCAGGGCAGTGCAGTGCGGTGCAGGGCGGCGCAAGGCGAGGCAGTGCGATGCAAGGCAGTGCAGGGCGGTGCTGTGCGGTACAGTGCGGTGAAAGGTGGTGGAGAACCGTACCAGGGAGAGTGCAGATCGGACGGTCGTAGGGCCGGCGAGGAAGGGGCGGAAGTCGACGCGAGGCCGGCCGGGACAAGCGCGGGAGCCGGCTCGGACGGGCGCGGGACCGGCAGGGACGGGCGCGGGGCCGGCTGGAACGGGCGCGGGGCCGGCTGGGACAGGCGCGGGGCCGGCTGGGACGGGCGCGGTGCCTGCTGGGACAGGCGCGGGGCCGGCTGGGACGGGTGCAGGGGCGGCCTGGACGGGCACGAGGGGCCGGCTGGGACAGTCGCGGGGCCGGCTGGGACGATCGCGGGGCCGGCTGGGACGGTCGCGGGGTCTGCTGGGACGGTCGCGGGGCCGGCTGGGACGGGCGCGGGGCCGGCTGGAATGGGCGCGGGGCCGGCTGGGACAGGCGCGGGGCCGGCTGGGACGGGCGCGGGGCCTGCTGGGACAGGCGCGGGGCCGGCTGGGACGGGTGCAGGGGCGGCCTGGACGGGCACGAGGGGCCGGCTGGGACGGGCGCGGGGCCGGCTGGGACGATCGCGGGGCCGGCTGGGACGGTCGCGGGGCCGGCTGGGACGGTCGCGGGGCCGGCTGGGACGGTCGCGGAGCCGGCTGGGACAGTCGCGGGGCCGGCTGGGACGGTCGCGGGGCCGGCTGGGACGGTCGCGGGGCCGGCTGGGACGGTCGCGGGGCCGGCTGGGACGGTCGCGGGGCCGGCTGGGACGGTCGCGGGGCCGGCTGGGACGGTCGCGGGGCCGGCTGGGACGGTCGCAGGGCTGGAGCGACGGACTAGGAAGCGCGACGGGCTAGGTAAGGTGCGACGGGCTAGGAGTCGCGCGACAGGGCCAGGAGGCACCAACGGGGGGCCCAGGAGGGGCGTGACGGGTGCTAGGGGGCGCGACGGGCCCAGGGGAGCGTGACGGGGCCCAGGGGAGCGTGACGGGGCCCAGGGGGCGCGACGGGGCCCAGGGAAGCGTGACGGGGCCCAGGGGGTGCGACGGGGCCCAGGGGGGGCGTGACGGGGCCCAGGGGGGGGCGTGACGGGGCCCAGGGGGGGCGTGACTGGTCCTAGGTGACGCGACGGGGCCCAGGGGGGCGCGACGGGCCCAGGGGGGGGCGCGACTGGTCCTAGGTGACGCGACGCACGGGGGTAGATCCTAGGGCGGAAGCGTGGGGGGGGCGGTGGGACCTACCTACTGCTGATACCATCTTAGAACTGAAGAATTGTTTTAATAGAGAGAGAGTACAAGGGTATATACCTAAGAGTGTTGTACCCTCTAAGAGGCGACCCTATACAGTCTATACAAACATGAGTTATACTTATGTTTGACAGCTATGACATGAACACTAGTCATTCATATTTGAAGCTTGTAGTGCCAGTGCATTGCAGCCTGGAGTAAACTTTGTCCAATATCCACTTCCACTACATGTAATACAGGAACACGTTATCCCCTCTATTGAGCTGAGCCTGACGCTGCTGCTCCAACCTCTTCAGGCTCTCTGTTCGGCACACCCAGAAAAACATTTTCGGGCAGCGTGACCGGATTCTTGAGCTCCACGACAACTTTTTTCCAGTCCGGTCGGCGGTAGAACCCAAACCGGCTCCGCTTCTTCTTGCCCTCATAGTTCATCGTGTGAACTCTGTCTACTTCCAAGCCATACAGTGACTCTAGGTAGCGACGAATCTCCACCTGCGTTGGAGAAAGGGGAAGGCCAATGAGCAGAAGGAATGGCAGATTAAGGGACTAGAACTCAGTTCATCGTGAGAGCTCTGTTGACCTCCACCTGGTATACCGACTCCGGGTAGCAACGAATCTCCACGGTCCACCTGCATGAATAAGAGGGAATGCTACCCAGAGTCGGTACCCAAGGGAAGCAATGTGGTGGAGAGAGGATGTGAGGGAACGAGAAGCGGATTGCTGACGGAGCAAAAAATAACACAAGGACAGAACAGTGGACAAGGGAGGGATTGCTTGGAGTAGATTGGTGGGAGGGGGGGGGAAGGGGAAGGATGGTTTGAGGGGAAGGGGAAAAGAGAGGTGGAAGCACCGACGAAGCAGGGAACGAGAAGGCTGTAGCAGTGGCAGTGATAGCTGTAGCAGTGGCAATGACAGCTGAAGCAGTGGCAGTGATAGCTGTAGCAGTGGCAGTGATAGCTGTAGCAGTGGCAGTGATAGCTGTAGCAGTGGCAGTGATAGCTGTAGCCGTGGCAGTGAGAGCTGTAGCAGTGGCAGTGATAGCTGTAGCAGTGGCAGTGATAGCTGTAGCAGTGGCAGTGATAGCTGTAGCAGTGGCAGTGACAGCTGTAGCAGTGGCAGTGATAGCTGTAGCAGTGGCAGTGATAGCTGTAGCAGTGGCAGTGATAGCTGTAGCAGTGGCAGTGATAGCTGTAGCAGTGGCAGTGACAGCTGTAGCAGTGGCAGTGACAGCTGTAGCAGTGGCAGTGACAGCTGTAGCAGGTGGTAGCTGTAGCAGGGAATGGAAGTAGTGGGGCGACAGGATGCACGAGGGAAAAGGAAAGAGAGCGGGGAGGGTAGGGAAAGGAATGTATGAGCCTGAATGCCAAGGAAAGGAGGGAGGGTGGGAGGGTAAAGGGGTCAAGGAAGTGGCAGCGGTCGGTACGGGCACAGATTGACGGGCGCAAACACTGAACGGTCGGCCCTTAACTTATTGACTGACGGTATGGCCCTACTACCACATAGCTCACCTTATTAACGGACGGTATGGTTCTAAAGACCATCTACTTAATGTTCTCCAGCGGCCGGGTATGACCTTGTACCAAGGTGACCTTAGAGTCGACTCAAAAGTCAACTTCGGCCATTACCTTGTTAACGGACGGTACGGTTCTAAAGACCACCTCCTTAATGTTCTCCAGCGACTCGGGCCGCACGATGCGGAGAGGGATGTTAGCGAAGTGGACGAGTCGGCCCATAGCGGGGATATGGAGGATATGGGGAGACGATGTATGCGCGGACGGTGGGTGTGGAGTGATCGGGAAACTCGAGAGCAGACGTGGAAATGAGCAGACGGAAAACTCGGTTGACGGCAGAGCAACGGTGGGTGAGGAGTGATCGGGAGACTCGGCTGCAGGCGTGGAAATGAGCGGAATTCGCCCTACGGAACACTCGGTAAGCGGCGTAGCGAAGGAAAACTCGGTAAAATGGACGGAAAGCGAATAATAGGCGGGCGAAGGTCGAGAAGCGAGAGTAATGATCGCGGCTTAGAAGTAGGAGCGCAGCGGACGGCAGAGGCGCTGCGCGGAGTAGGCGGCGGTGAGCCTCTGTGCGCCGCCTAAGCAGGCACACGATTGCGATCGCTTAGTCGCGGGGAACAGCCGGTGTCAGAGGGATCTTAGGACCTACGAAGCTCCTAGAGGCCTAGGAGGATAGATAAATCCCTCGCATCATGAATCGTACATCGCAAAAATGCGGAACCCTATTTTGGTAGGGGGTTTTCGAGGTTCCAAAACGTGTGTGTCGCTGCTCGCACAAATAGTAAGGAAAACCCTAGGTAAGGGCATTCGTGCAGAATCGAGTATGCTTTCGGATGCTGTTTCAGTACGAGATATACATGCCTTTTCGTTATGCTTAGAAAATTGCTTTAATGTAATTTTATTTTTGGAGCTAATTCATAAAATCTATGCAAAATCGTGTTGTAAAAATGAAGTATAAACCTTTGCAAGTACTTCTTTGAAATAAGCCATTATTCCATAGGAATGTCTCTTTAATTGGCATGTTATATTTGGACTTCAATTGAGATCAACCAGTAGGTGTGCATTCACTGCGTACCACCACAAGCTTAGTCAAATAAATAATCATTCAACATAAATGTGCCCGGACGAGCAAAAGATTCTACGATATGCACGGCTCGGAAGATAGTGTCGACATCAATGATGTCACGGTACACCCGCTGTGTACCGGGGGCCTTTGCCACTCGCAGTGCTTTGCACCCAGTGAGGGCATCAACACGGATCACATCGTAGTACTGGACATACGCAAACCTTTCATCACTACCAAGGATTTTAAAGAGCAGCAGGATCTCCCCATACCAAACCTCATCACCGGCGCCTCTAATAGCGGCATGCGAGAACCATAGTTGCCCATGGTGGGACGGGTTTGCTCGAACAAAGTGCGTGACTCTAGAGTCTGCTGTACTTGACCCTGCTGGAACTGCCATCCCTGTAAAGACCTGCTTAGAAGTTGACAAGGTGGCAGAGCAGGGTGGGGCAATGGGTGTATGGGATGGGGGGTTGAAGTGTGGATAGCAATGGGAACACGTGGGGTGTTTTGAAGAGGACAACATATTAGCGGACTTGGAATGGGGAGAGCAGGGTGCAGAGCATGACCCAATTTGTAAGGGTGTCCAGAGAAAAAGGGCACAGAGGTCCTTCACAATCCCCAAAGAGAAAAAGGAGACAAGGGAACTCAGATGGGGCAGAGAGGTGTGTGGCAAGCCATGTCGACCGATATTGACAGAGGACAGGGAGAACAAAGGGGTCAGAGATATACCTGGCAAGTCGCAAACCACCAAGGGAGGCTAGGTGGATGATATGGGCCAGAGATATGCATGGCAAGTCGCAAACCACCAAGGGAGGCTAGGTGGGTGATATGGGCCAGAGATATGCATGGCAAGTCTTAAACCACCAAGGGAGACTAGGTGGGTGATATGGGCCAGAGATATGCATGGCAAGTCTCAAACCACAAAGGGAGCCTAGATGGGTGATATGGGCCAGAGATATGCATGGCAAGTCTCAAACCACCAAGGGAGCCTAGATGGGTGATATGGGTTAGAGATATGCATGGCAAGTCTCAAACTACCAAGGGAGGCTAGGTGGGTGATATGGGCCAGAGATATGCATGGAGAGTCTCAAACCACCAAGGGAGGCTAGGTGGGTGATATGGGCTAGAGATATGCATGGCAAGTCTCCAACCACCAAGGGAGCCTAGATGGGTGATATGGGCCAGAGATATGCATGGCAAGTCTCAAACCACCAAGGGAGGCTAGGTGTGTGATATGGGCCAGAGATATGCATGGCAAGTCTCAAACCACCAAGGGAGGCTAGGTGGGTGATATGGGCCAGAGATATGCATGGCAAGTCTCAAACCACCAAGGGAGGCTAGGTGGGTGATCTGGGCCAGAGATATGCATGGAGAGTCTCAAACCACCAAGGGAGGCTAGGTGGGTGATATGGGCCAGAGATATGCATGGCAAGTCTCCAACCACCAAGGGAGGCTAGGTGGGTGATATGGGCCAGAGATATGCATGGCAAGTCTCCAACCACCAAGGGAGGCTAGGTGGGTGATATGGGCCAGAGATATGCATGGCAAGCCTCAAACCACCAAGGGAGGCTAGGTGGGTGATATGGGTCAGAGATATGCATGGCAAGTCTCAAACCACCAAGGGAGGCTAGGTGGGTGATATGGGCCAGAGATATGCATGGCAAGTCTCAAACCACCAAGGGAGGCTAGGTGGGTGATATGGGCCAGAGATATGCATGGCAGGTCTCAAACCACCAAGGGAGGCTAGATGGGTGATATGGGCCAGAGATATGCATGGCAAGTCTCAAACCACCAAGGGAGGCTAGGTGGGTGATATGGGCCAGAGATATGCATGGCAAGCCTCAAACCACCAAGGGAGGCTAGGTGGGTGATATGGGCCAGAGATATGCATGGCAAGTCTCAAACCACCAAGGGAGGCTAGGTGGGTGATATGGGCCAGAGATATGCATGGCAAGTCTTAAACCACCAAGGGAGACTAGGTGGGTGATATGGGCCAGAGATATGCATGGCAAGTCTCAAACCACAAAGGGAGCCTAGATGGGTGATATGGGCCAGAGATATGCATGGCAAGTCTCAAACCACCAAGGGAGCCTAGATGGGTGATATGGGTTAGAGATATGCATGGCAAGTCTCAAACCACCAAGGGAGGCTAGGTGGGTGATATGGGCCAGAGATATGCATGGCAGGTCTCAAACCACCAAGGGAGGCTAGATGGGTGATATGGGCCAGAGATATGCATGGCAAGTCTCAAACTACCAAGGGAGGCTAGGTGGGTGATATGGGCCAGAGATATGCATGGAGAGTCTCAAACCACCAAGGGAGGCTAGGTGGGTGATATGGGCCAGAGATATGCATGGCAAGTCTCCAACCACCAAGGGAGCCTAGATGGGTGATATGGGCCAGAGATATGCATGGCAAGTCTCAAACCACCAAGGGAGGCTAGGTGTGTGATATGGGCCAGAGATATGCATGGCAAGTCTCAAACCACCAAGGGAGGCTAGGTGGGTGATATGGGCCAGAGATATGCATGGCAAGTCTCAAACCACCAAGGGAGGCTAGGTGGGTGATCTGGGCCAGAGATATGCATGGAGAGTCTCAAACCACCAAGGGAGGCTAGGTGGGTGATATGGGCCAGAGATATGCATGGCAAGTCTCCAACCACCAAGGGAGGCTAGGTGGGTGATATGGGCCAGAGATATGCATGGCAAGTCTCCAACCACCAAGGGAGCCTAGATGGGTGATATGGGCCAGAGATATGCATGGCAAGTCTCAAACCACCAAGGGAGGCTAGGTGTGTGATATGGGCCAGAGATATGCATGGCAAGTCTCAAACCACCAAGGGAGGCTAGGTGGGTGATATGGGCCAGAGATATGCATGGCAAGTCTCAAACCACCAAGGGAGGCTAGGTGGGTGATCTGGGCCAGAGATATGCATGGAGAGTCTCAAACCACCAAGGGAGGCTAGGTGGGTGATATGGGCCAGGATATGCATGGCAAGTCTCCAACCACCAAGGGAGCCTAGATGGGTGATATGGGCCAGAGATATGCATGGCAAGTCTTAAACCACCAAGGGAGACTAGGTGGGTGATATGGGCCAGAGATATGCATGGCGAGTCTCAAACCACAAAGGGAGCCTAGATGGGTGATATGGGCCAGAGATATGCATGGCAAGTCTCAAACCACCAAGGGAGCCTAGATGGGTGATATGGGCCAGAGATATGCATGGCAAGTCTCAAACCACCAAGGGAGGCTAGGTGGGTGATATGGGCCAGAGATATGCATGGCAGGTCAAACCACCAAGGGAGGCTAGATGGGTGATATGGGCCAGAGATGGGGTTTCTACAGTTAACGGGATGTGGCATAGGAGTTGGGTGGGAGAGTGGACTCACATGAAGGGTTTGCGGGGTCAAATCATAACTCTCAAGATCATCTTGCAAGGTGGTCAATCTCCCACCAAGTGCCGTGTTCCAGATCTCAAACTGGTCAGTTTTGCTACGGCGAGCTGTGCTCCCCTGCATGTGGAACACTACGTGCGTGCGGAGGAGGACGCGCTTGCCCTCCGTATCGGCCTGCATGGGGAATGGGGGTTGGTCACTTAATAAGGTTATGCCAATTGGACGATGGCTTCAAGCATTTTGAGAATGTAGAGTCCTACCTCGTAGAACGCTGAGTTGTACTCTCTCTCCTCTTTGATGTCGCTCTCCACCTCTGATAGCATCTGGTGGAACTGGTTGCTCTTGATGATCGACTCTGTCCACTCGCGCCGGTTTGATGCCCGGTATGGCCTCTTCACACAGTCCTTGTGAAAGTGCTCGTACATGTTTGTTGAGTACTCCTCTGGAAGCCCACCCCGCTTAATGGCCTCCTCGAAGTGCACCACCATGTGAACCTTGATGAGCTTCCACTTGGACTTTTGCTTGGGAAAAGCGGCCTTTAGCTCCTTTATCATACTGTGAGTGAAAGAAAGGGTGAAAGAACGAGGCAGAGGCGGTATTGGAGCCTTGCAGAGAAGGTTGTGGGATGGTAGTGGGCATAAAGAAGCAGGGCGAAGGAGGGTGCTTGACCGTACATGGCTGCAAAGGGAGGGTGGTTGAAATAGTATATGGGCCAAACGGGAAGGTGAGGGTAGAGAGGGGAGAGGGATGGAATGGTACAGGATAGGGCGGTGTTGGTATAGAGTTGGGCTGCAGCGGCAGGGTGAAGGCATAGTATCGGGCGGAATGATTGCTGGAATATTGTATGGAAGAGAAATAAAGGTGAAGGAATAGGGCATATAAGAGTGGGGATGTAAAAGGCTATGGGCGAGAAGGGTGGGGGATAAGGGTAGAGAAGAGAAGGGGAATCGAATGGTACAGGGCAGACCTAGGAGTGTTATGGTGGTGGTGTTGGTGTTATGGTGATGGTGTTATGGTGAAGGGAGGGTGATGGTGTTGCTGCATGATGGATAGGGGAGGGTATTGAGCATAGACATGCGCGATCGAGGCCAGAGAGGGGTGCATACCTCATCGCCAGGGTATGGCATGTAGCGAGGCTCGCATCCGTGTGATACCGGGGGCGAAACAAGGCCTTGTACCACCTCAAGAAGGCCTGCACTGCGATCATGTGCTGGGGGAGCACTAGCCCTTCCAGGATGAACACAGACACCTGCATGATTGCTCTGTGCTCCGCAGCTGAAACATTCGCCCCTGACCCAAAGTACGTCCCATGGTGAGGGAGGTATAAGCCGGCAATGCGACCGTTTTCCCAAAACCACTTGAGGCGCCTGCCAAAGAATAAATCGGTGATAAAGGGCAGTCAGGGTTTGGCAGCCAGACTTTTAAGAAAAGGCGAAAGAGGGCACACACTCACGTGTCCATGGCACCATTTTTCGCAGCAGGAAGGGTGGCAAGGGCGTCCCGGATGTGACCCCACACACCAACATCAGATTGGTGTAGCACATCAGGCATTAAAGCCAAGTATGGGTTGCCCCACGGCGTACTGGCATACTTGAACTCCCACAGGAAACTCTGGTTTAGGATGGATGCACAAAGGAGCGGTTGAACTAGTGCAAACAAGGGTATATCAACAATGTTAGACTCGGTGCAAAATGGTGATTTTGAACTTACAGGTGTGGGAAACGACGACCAAAGTTTAGCGTAGTCGCCAGCCACGGTCTTGCCAGTTTCTAACAACCTGTTGAATTTGTCAACCACAAATCTCTGCTCACGAACAGTCCTAGGCGCAAACGTGTTGACCAGGTCATCCATCTCATCTTTCTCTACATAGCACATGGAGCAAGGTCGGTTGCTGTTATGCTGGAATGTGCACGAGACTTTGCTGCTCTCTGGGTAATCACATGCATAACAGTAGAGAAGTGGCCATACTGTACGCAGAGTGCCGGATGGGTCAGTCCAGGCACAACCTGTAGAGCTGTTGGAAACGAGCATAACAGAGTGGCACAAAGGTCAGTGTGTATAGGGCGTGAATATGTAGCATAATAAATAGGGCGCTTTGAGGGTGGACATCAGAGTATGTCTTTACAACGCACCTGTTGCTCGCATCTATTAGAGGTTGCAAGACTATCTTCATGCAATCCTGGAACAGCTGTGTTTTCACAGAGCTGGGCCACTTTGGATTTCCCATCGGCAGCATAGCCACCATCTGTTTGGCACTGCGCTTCCACCTATGCTCAACAGCAATGTTCCCAAGCGAGATGACGACAGGCCATACTTTCTGTGAATCGTTCTTTGACAGTTGGGTGACATCTGAATAGACTATGAGTGCGGCAATGACCTCATCGTTGTACCCAAGCTCTTCCTGCAAGTGGTAAAAGCGTAGGGTAGGGAGTATTGGTCTGCAAAATGCACGAGGCCACACCATGCACATGCCGCAGAGGGGAAGGTGCTTGCACCATGCCGCATCGCAGAGGGGACGGTGCTTGCACCATGCAGCAGAGGGGACGGTGCTTGCACCACGCCAGCATGATAGGTGGTTGTGGATGATAGGCGTGCATACCTGTGCCTTTTGCCACCACGTGCAGTGTTGAGGGCGGGTGTAGATCCGCTCCCCTCTCTGGTTCTTCTTGACTGTTGGGAACAGAGCGAAACCAGTGTGGTTCTGTCGGTCTTCAAAAATTGCCTTCGCGATCTGCAAAGGCACATCAAAGAACGGCAAAAGAAGGGGACAGAGTTGTATGTTGGCCTGGACAATAGGGGGAATACGGTCAAGAGGGACAAAAAAACACCCGCAGCAATGAAATGTGCCTTACCTTGACTGTATCCACGTGTTTCAAAGAAACATACACAGGCTGGCCGTTCTCCAAAACGTCTGGCACTTTCACCAGGGTAGTTTTCCAAGGTGCAGCCTTGGAACCCCAGTTGTCAGCTGCCCATTTCTGGGCGTCCTTGATGCTGCGCCAGCCTGCTAAGTCGGCCGGTTTGAAATCGGGATGTAGAATAACTTGGAGGAAACGCTTGCTCTCCTCGACAGTCATACCCTGCCCCTCTCTAAAACTTTGCATGAGCAATAGTACTTCTTTCCACGTGTTGAAGTCCAGGGAGTCAAGCGGGTTTGGTCCAAACACTGTGTCATCATGGCACGGTTGCGAATGCTGTCCAGCGTCGCTGCCAGAGACAGGACTCTGAACAGGACTCGCTGGTCGGGGGCGTGCGGACCCGCCATGCCCTTGATCACTCGGGGGCGAGGCGGTCATGACCCGTCTACGCTTGCAACGCCCAAGCGGCGTTGGGTCACGCACTATCTCACCATGCTCGTCAAGATGGTACGGACCCTGTGTGTAACCTTCCTCTTGAAACCTACATCGCTCAATGCGACATTGCAAGCTTCGCTCATGCGTCGCCAATGCACGGTACCCCGAAAAAACTAAGGCGCACCATGAGCAGACTATGCACGTCAGCATAAGACCAATGGTGAGCTGGATAAAAATTTTCATCGTAGTGGAGTTCTACCTCTCGGAAGGTGCTAGCTAATGGGACATATTTCCCAAACGGGAAGGCCAGGAAAGCAGTTAGCGTGAATGGATCCATTCTTGTGCAATGATGCTAGCTATGTAGGCAACGAGGTATTGCTCGCCTATACCTAATCCTCCTGTTTGCGCGGTCCAAGTTAGGAGTAGGGAAGAGACCAAGGTGCAGATTGGGGGTTTGGCAAGTTTGAGAATTCGAAGTTCGAACTTCGAGTTTCAAACTTCGTTTGGCTGGCGGGAGCAGGAAGAGTGGTGGCGAGGAGTTCTACATGGTTTCAACAAAATCAAATTCCAAACATGTTTACAAAAAAGGTAAAAGTAGTGGTCACGTCATGCGCATATACCATCAACCACAATTCGTATCTGTGGTTTAATTTCAGGGTGGTTCCAGTACCACCATGCCCCCCAGAGTTTGAGAAAGGGCCATGTTGCGTGAATTAGGGGATAGAGCTTTCGAAATGATTCAAAAACTCGAAATTTGCTAATGTACCTAGGTAAATCTTTTGTAGACCGGTTTCTTAATTCCCTCTCGTGCGTATTACTTCCCCCCACCATCTCTCCAGATAACAGCATCATCAGAGAACCAAACACTGCGCTGCATCATTTTGCGTGCCTCGGTGTGTCATTCCAGGACCGCGCCACCAGATTATAAATTATGTCGTTTCACCAAAGTAAAACCTTTTTTAGCCCTGTTTTTTTTGTCCCTATTGTGTATCAGATCCCCTCTCACCATCCCACCAAAGCACACATCCAGAAAACAAGCAAGCCTTACACAGCATCATTTTGCGTGCCTTGGTGTGTCATTCCAGGACGGCACCACCAGATTATAAATTATGTCGTTTCACCAAAGTAAAACCTTTTTTAGCCCTGTTTTTTTTGTCCCTATTGTGTATCAGATCCCCTCTCACCATCCCACCAAAGCACACATCCAGAAAACAAGCAAGCCTTACACAGCATCATTTTGCGTGCCTTGGTGTGTCATTCCAGGACGGCACCACCAGATTATAAATTATGTCGTTTCACCAAAGTAAAACCTTTTTTAGCCCTGTTTTTTTTGTCCCTATTCTGTATCAGATCCCCCTTCACTATCTCACAAAAGATGAACACCAAAAAACAAGCAAGCCTTACACAGCAGCATTTTGCGTGCCTCGGTGTGTCATTCCAGGACCGCGCCACCAGATTATAGAGTATGTCGTTTCACCAAAGTAAAACCTTTTTTAGACCTGTTTTTTTTGTCCCTATTGTGTATCAGATCCCCTCTCACCATCCCACCAAAGCACACACCCAGAAAACAAGCAAGCCTTACACAGCATCATTTTGCGTGCCTTGGTGTGTCATTCCAAGACGGCACCACCAGATTTTAAATTATGTCGTTTCACCAAAGTAAAACCTTTTTGAGCCCTGTTTTTTTTTGTCCCTATTGTGTATCAGATCCCCCTTCACTATCCCACAAAAGCACAACACCAAAAAACAAGCAAGCCTTACACAGCAGCATTTTGCGTGCCTCGGTGTGTCATTCCAGGACCGCGCCACCAGATTATAGAGTATGTCGTTTCACCAAAGTAAAACCTTTTTTAGCCCTGTTTTTTTTTTTCCCTATTGTGTATCAGATCCCCTCTCACCATCCCACCAAAGCACACATCCAGAAAACAAGCAAGCCTTACACAGCATCATTTTGCGTGCCTTGGTGTGTCATTCCAAGACGGCACCACCAGATTTTAAATTATGTCGTTTCACCAAAGTAAAACCTTTTTTAGCCCTGTTTTTTTTGTCCCTATTGTGTATTAGATCCCCCTTCACTATCCCACAAAAGCACAACACCAAAAAACAAGCAAGCCTTACACAGCAGCATTTTGCGTGCCTCGGTGTGTCATTCCAGGACCGCGCCACCAGATTATAGAGTATGTCGTTTCACCAAAGTAAAACCTTTTTTAGCCCTGTTTTTTTTGTCCCTATTGTGTATCAGATCCCCTCTCACCATCCCACCAAAGCACACATCCAGAAAACAAGCAAGCCTTACACAGCATCATTTTGCGTGCCTCGGTGTGTCATTCCAGGACGGCACCACCAGATTATAAATTATGTCGTTTCACCAAAGTAAAACCTTTTTTAGCCCTGTTTTTTTTGTCCCTATTGTGTATCAGATCCCCCTTCACTATCCCACAAAAGCAAAACACCAAAAAACAAGCAAGCCTTACACAGCAGCATTTTGCGTGCCTCGATGTGTCATTCCAGGACCGCACCACCAGATTATAAAATATGCCGTTTCACCAAGATAACACCTTTCTTAGCCCTGGTTTTTTCTCCCTCTCGTGTATTTCATCCCCCGCCACCATCCCTCCAAAGCACAGCATCATCAAACAAGTAAGCCTTACACAACAGCATCTTGTGTGCCTCGGTGTGTCATTCCAGGACCGCACTACCAGATTATAAAATATGCCGTTTCGCCAAGGTCAGACATTTTTTAGCCCTGTCTTTTTTGTCCCTCTTGTGTATCAGATTGCCCACCACCATCCCTCCAAAGCGCAGCATCAATTAACAAGCAAGTTGTACACAGCACCAAAGAAGGAAGCCTTACACAGGGTCATTTTGCGTGCCTCGGTGTGTCATTCCTTAAACGCACCACCAGATTGTAAAACTTGCAGATTCACCTAAGTAAGACCCTTTTTTACGCCCTTTTTTTTTGGTTTAGTGTATCAAAGCAATAAAAAGGAGCTTGATGGAAATAAAAATGGCACAGAGTTCTGGTAGTGTGCATTGGAGGTCTTGAGGTACATCCCAGAGCGTCTCGATAGCACTACCAAAAACTATTCAGAATCGACCAACATGGCACACGAGCGCCCAATTGTTCAAAATTTGAATAATGGCTCATTGTAAGGCTTTATATTGTGCCATCTGTTACACTATGTTACACGACTGCATGGTTTGGCACGTACCTCTGCAAAGGAGGACTATGCCCAGACATTGTTTGTCGTTTTATCCGGTACCGTTTACGACATCTTGAAAGTAGTCGGCGCGCATGCGCATAACAGTTTTGATGTTGTCGTTTGTCCTTCGGTGACAGCCAGGCAGCAATGCAGTACATTACGCGTCCTTCATTCCCACATTGGACTAGGTGGTGGCGGTGGTTTCGGAGGAATGGGGTAAATAATAAAACATAGACATGTATTGGGACTGGGCTTATAAGATTGCACGTCGAAGGCGGAATTTGCCAACGTGCAATGGTTTGTGTTCTGGACGGAAACGAATCTTGGGTTTCGTAGATAGTCTTTTAGGCAAAAGTCTCGCGAATTTAGGTTGTGTACTGTAATCACCAGCCCGACTTTTTTTGGGCTGGCCAATTTCGATCCGCTGTTATTTCCTTTCATGTTTCTGGCGCACATGTTACGAAATCCGATCCAGGAAACAGCCTGACAGCTTGCAGCGGAAGATCTTTTACTGTTTCATTGTTCTCCAACGCGAGTGGCTAGTATAACGACAAATCGCAGGGTCCATGGTCCACGTTTATTTCGGTGTTTCGAATCGCCCGCTAGAGTTTCTCTCTTTTTTCGCCACCCATCAAGATCCTAGCGTAATACTGTGTGTACGCGAATCGATCAGTCGGCACCTAGCGTCAGAAAAAATTACTGCCTACCAAGCTCCTCTCGGCCTACTTTTTCGGGACTCCTGGTGTGAACGGTCACACTGATTTGAAAACAGACAGAGTTGATTCCGCATGGTTGTAGAGATCTAGGAATACTACCCACAAGTAAAAAAAATGCTTATTGAAAAAACCAACTATTCGATAGCAATTTTTTCACAGTTTGTTGTTCGTGTGACAACGCGACATTGTAATACATCAGCCAATTTACCACGCTGTTTCAAGGTCTCCTCCTTGTCATTGCCTTTGGGTAGTTTTTCTCGACGTTTAGTTAATGCGCACACTTGGCTCTCTCGTGGCGGGAAAAAAATCACAGTTTCGTTTTAACATCCCCTACCCCCCTCATACATTTGCTGCCTTGAGTCGTGGACCCGCTTTAAGAGATTCCCCGATGTGGTCACATAATTAGAGGAGGGTAGTGCAGCGACATTTTCCTGATTTCAAGGGTGCTGATGGTGAACCCGAAATGTTTGGTTGCGCGTTACTGTTGGGATTGCAAGTGGGGATTCAGCTCGCTTCACGCTTGTACCCTCCCTTGTGTTCTGTAGGTTGCATTGTACGTTCTAGATCTTGATTGCTCATAGATCCAACGGCCCACGGAACACCTGCTTGATTCCGTCTTTCAAACTCTCAAACTCTGAATTGTCGAAAGCCTCGTTTTCACAGAAACATCCGCACGAAGGGAAGATGTCGACAGTGTTTTCCCCCCAACGCATGGCACAGCTCAGGCCGTTGGTGGGGCGCCAAAAGTTGGTGGTTCCGCCCTTCGAGCTTCACCCCCGTGACCTCCCGCGCAGTGCCCAGTACCGCGAGTGTAGTCCGTTTGTGCCCTCGCGACTTCAACCTTACACCTGTGCTAATGGCAGAGGGGTTTTTTTTTTTCTACTGGCTGAATTTCCGCGCAGTAAATTGGCCTCCCGCCTTTTACTGTCTGCATGCTGAACGCTCGTTCACAGTATTTAAAGGAGCCTATTGCCTCAATGGATTATTCATTTTTTGGCCCTTCGTGATTGATGAACCAGCCTTGTCACCCTCCCAAACCTTCTAAGTTAGGCATATGTCGTCGTTGCCCTCTTCCGAGCATGAGCAGGTTGGGAAGCGTCGTCGAACACCCTCGTTCAAGGCCGCCCAAGGTGAGGGCCTTGGCACTCGACCTGCCAAGCGTGGGAGTCGTAACAGCACAGCTTTAGGCCAAGTGGAAGAGGCGCGTGATCTCATTGCTGCAGCCCCACACGTTCCCAAGTCCCCATCTCCAGCTTCGGCGGACGCGGCGTATGGAAGACACGAACGGTCGTCGGAAACGAATGCGAATGAGCCCGTTGTACACTCCCTTGATGCGCCCGATGAGGACCAGGATGGTGAAGCTGACGCAGATGGTGAAGTTACGCTCAACGGTATTGGTCTCACCGGTGAGCACACTTGGAATTGTCTCTATTGCCTTCTTCTGTTTCTGTTTCCCTGCTCTATTGTACACAGGTTCTTTCGTGTGTGCCCTATCTCTTGTACACAAGTTGTATGCGATGCCTCTATCTT